TGAAGAAAATTTTGTATAAGGGATGCATTTTGACCTCTAAGGCTCCAAATAATACTGTTTTATTGAATAATGGGGATATTTTACAGATTCAGGATATTTGTAGGACAGTTGATAAACCAGATGAAATCAAGATAACAGGGCAATCTTTTAACATTGAAGGTTCAATATTCAATTATCCATGTGATTCAAGTACTCTGAACATGTGGCAAGTTTCTACTAGGAAGAGGAAAGATATTGTATGCTCTCTGGACAAAGTTTCTAAAAAAATGGTTACGTTAGATATTAGCACCGAAGTCAAAGAAGAAATTTACACAATGCCATTGCTACATGCCTAACTTTGCTAACTCATATGAAGTAATTTGTCAATCATTCTCATTATTTTTTATTGAATTTTGTAATTCGTTTTGTTATTTGTAGAAGAAACTTTTCAAATTCTCCGCTGAAATATTCTGGAAAAAAAGGATTCATGGGAGTAGATATAATATGATAATTGTATGTGCTGACAAGCTTAATGTTAATTAAAGTGTTGATAATCAAATGCCTGACTTATTACTGATTGCCCATCAATTCATTTCTTGATTGCTTTCTATGAAAATGATGTCATCCGAATTTTTTAGCTCTATATGATCTTTTGTGGGAAGAGAATGTAATTTATATTCGTTTCGTCTCTGGGGATTCACTGATGAATTCGATGGCAATAATTAACTGTGGCCAAATGAATCCCCATTTGAAACTGTATGGATAAAATACAAGGTGACAGCGTTTCCATTGTTCAAAACTCGCATTATTGAAAACGTAGTTCATGCATTAATTCTATTCTTGGAAGGAATTATATTTTCCCTCAATATTATATTAAAAATTCACGTTTAAGATCATTCAAATTTATTTGCTCGAAAAAGTTAGAGATGATTATCGAAGACAATACCTCTGAAAGAACTCAATGGAAAATTCTAGCGCATTCTGTATAGGAAAACATTGTAAATTCTATCAGTTTCTTGTAGATTCTTCTAGGAATTCCGTAGCATCTCCCGAGCGTATTATTAAATAGAAATATCTAATAGAATAGGTATATTTGATACACGGAGAGGAATTTTAGGTAAAAATTACCCATATGGTGTTCTACAAACACGTGTATTGAGAGATACCTATTTTTTTCTCATTTCTACTCGGAAATTTAGTAAAGATCAATTTTAAACAATAAAATTTCATCTACGCTAAAAAAATCGTATTTTCCATAAGAGAGATTTTGTTCTGATAAAAATAAATGATCTCTAGGTTATGTGAAATTACACCCAGGCAGTCTACATAGCAATTACCGTACCGGTAGGGTAGAAATCCCTCTACCATCAAGGTGAAATTTATAAACAAAATTTTCCGAAATTTTTGTTGATACTACATTAAAATTACTCAAAAATCAATCATTCTCCATTTTCATATCCGACTGTATTTCGTTGAGATTTTTTCCACAGCAATTCCTCAGTATAAATTGTCTCAATTTATTCCATGGTATTTTGTTCGCCTTTCATTGAGAATAATCCAAGGAAAAAACTATAAATTTTATGGCGATGAATTTCTATGAGAGAAAAGGCAACAAAATGAGTTTTTAATAAAATAAAAATCTATCGAGATTTCCATCAAATATTTTTCTATGTAAAAAAGCGCGGGAAAGAAAGGGGAATTTCCGAAAAAAATCTGGAAATTTTTATTTGAATGGGCTAGGATCACCTAAGTATTGATCGATTAATTCAATCCATTTTATTTCTAGAAATGAGAAAAAAAAATCTAGATTTTATCAAAAACCATTTTCTAGATTCTAAAATCTCTATTTTCTAGAATCTAGAATTTTTGTTCTAGAAACAATAATTTTCTTTCTCTGTGATGAAATTCTACACGAATCAACTCATTTTTTGAAATGAAAATAATTTGGCCATTGTTTTCGAAATTATTCCGTAATTCATTGGAGAAAATGATTTTAATTGACGATTTCTTTTATGGAGTTCAAAAAAAATTCAGTGTAGTTAGGGATGAGTCATTCCAGAAAACAAATTTCGATTGCATGCTCACAATCTAATTTTAATCACGGTAATAAATCTCGATGATCACCTCGATCCCCTAAATGAAAAAATTGAAAATTGAATTTTTCCACAATTCATTAAATAATAAGTCCTGACGTAACAGGAGATTCTCCCCACCATCAATTTATTCTTTTTCCTTTATAAAACTCTGAGAACTTCAATTTTCCAAAAACCCTTAAGCACCATCATTACGAGAACTGCTTGAGTTATTCGAGGAATCCAGATTCCCCATTTTATAGGACTTTGTCCATTCTTCAAATGAAAAGGACAGTTGAAGGAAAAGCACATTTCAATGCTTCTCTTTCGCACTCATTCTGGGTCATGCATGATCGTTCCATCCTCTTTCTTGACATGGAATTTTCCGAATTTTAATCTTCCCAAGGCATTCCAGAACTTTTATTACTGACTAGTTGCTTGGTTCTAGGGATACCAGTTTCCCCATTTTTATTAACCTGGTTCATTGTTGAAGGGAAAAGGACAGTCTGAGAGAGTTTATAATTTAATCCATTTTATTGCTCTTATTTATGACCATGCAGGCCATTAATTGCCCAGCGTCAAGCAACGGATGGGACCCCTGTTACCTGGGTCATGCAGGCATTGCCAAGATTTCGAGTTATAGATTGTTTCTCGCCAATATAACGAAGCACCCCCACTCTTTCCGACATTGATGTGTCAAAAATATGGAAAATTTAGTCAGTCCTGACCGTTCACTCGAAGGGATACCGGCTTTCATTTGAGAAGTTGCTAAGTTTTCTATATTTCTCTAGTGCTCCAGTGTTTTCGAGGTGCATAAATTCTTGATTGAGTGAAACATTAACGATATCAGTGGTGGAATTAAGGTACGTAGAAACGTTTTTTAACTTATTTTTAATCTCCCCAATTTTACAAACTATTTTCTTAAATCAAAATATCCATATAGCAAAAGAAAAACGACACATGTTCGCATGAATACAACGGTCCCATACCCTTCTCCCTCTTTTCCCTCTTCCAGGTCCCTTTTTTTTCCATAAGTTTTCCTCTTACGTTACCCTTTTTTCAGTAGAAAGTAGACGAAGACGCCTGAAAATTCCTTTCATTCTCACTTGGAATCGAGATCTGTTTGGATGCGAGAATATTTCTCTGGTGTTTTTTAAATGGTAAATAATTGTTTTTTTTCCTTTTCCAGCGCTGTTTCTTCAAAATTTTCATCTGAAAAACGATTAAAACGCAGTGTCAAGAGCTAACAACACCGAGTGCATTCATCGATTCTTCGCCATGTCGTCTGAACAAAACAGAAAAATACGTAACAACATTCATTCACGGGAGAAAAATTATGTATAGTGAAGGATGAAAACTTATGAATTCGAGAACATTAATATTTATAATTTTATTTATAATTTTTGAATCATGCAATAGGGAACTTGCATATTTTTATTTTATTGTTTTTTATAAAGTCTCTAGCTTATGATCGGAGCCAATGCTAGAAAGAATCTTTTTTCGTCATTATTTTTTAAATTATCGAACATTTAAAACAATTGTTTTTCAAACCAGTTCAAAACGCCCGTGACGTTATGATACCATTTCGACGCGCGAGAGCCAATCACAGGCCGTTCATAACCTAACCTTAGCGCGTTTGGTCCTATTGAAACGACAGCATTAGCATCGTGACGTCACAACCATTTTCGTGTGTTTTGAAAGATAATCACTTTAAACGTTTGATTTTTAGTTGATAAATCAATATTTTAACCAATTTTCATTTTCGGAGCATTTTAAAAGTTCCCGTGAACACATCAGAGCAATAAAAAAAAATTATTGAAAAAAAAAAATAATAATGAGTATGCAACTTCCCTATTATTAAATTTGGTCTTAAAATCCTTAATTCGGGAATTTCACCTCTGTAAAACTGGGACAAAGAAGACTACGCCGATGAATAGAGAGATTTTTTTTGATAATTCGCCTTTTCATCCTCGAAATTACTGAATAACCTCGGTTAAATTTTATTTTCAGTATGAATTCCTGCTGGTCCATTTCCCCAATGATCCCGACCCCAGCACAGCGTTCGATATTGTCCCCGAATTCTGGGTTGAGAAAAATGATGAAGGAGCACTTTGTGTTAGATTCTTCGGTGAAAACGCTTCATCTCGTGAAATGAGAGTAGCGCAGAATTTAGTGCAACAACAGAAGCCACCACTTCCAGAGTGGGAGGAACAAACCATACAGATACGAGGAGGAGAAGGTGTATCTTCTTTTTTTTTTAGATATAAACGCTACAACGAGACCCTTCGTGGTCACTGTTTTTTTTTTCGAATTGCCCGTTTAATGTAATTCCTTCAATTACCATCAATTCCTAAAATTGTTTGTTTTTCCATGGAAAGATACCTACGCTGGAGCAAAGAGGAGCTTAAAAAGGCTAATTTCGGAAGCTTACGCTTTTTCTACCGAAGATGAGGAACATGCCGCAGCAAAAGCACAAAATCTGGAAAAACAATATATTGAGAAAACAGTCATTCGAGACCAGAAGAAAATAGACAATTTATTCACTCAAGCAGTGATTCATGATTCGTCTACTGGAGGAGTCATTGACGGTGAGTGGAAATATTATTTGGAACCCATTTCATTAAAAATATCATTCTCTTTCTTATAATGTCTCTTCCATTTTCATGAAGTATCCCTGGATACCCTTGAAGACATGATTCTTCTTCTTATTGCATTTTCTCTGTAAACAAAAATAAAAGACATAGCTGGAGTTTTAGTAGAGCAGTGAATGAAAGTTCAGCTTCCCGAAAAAATCAATTTCTCAAGAAAATAAATTCCCAAAATCTTCCTTGTTACCACTGACCATTGTCGGCATACCCCTTCAATAGACACGTCGGAAATACTCACTACTTTAGTCTCTTGGCCAAAATTTTGCCCTAAACTTGAACTCAATTTTAATTTTAACTTAACTTCAGTCGCTGAAAAGACACGAACATCATCAGAGAAAGGAGCTCCCATCAGTCCTGAACTGATGCTACTGCAGGAAGAATCAGGTATTTTTCATTTTTCTGTGTATAATTTTTAAACTTTTGTTTTGAGATTTAATTGAGCTATATTTGATATTGTTGAAAAATCCCTGGATCTACTTTATATGAGAATTCTATGCTAATTTCACTAATATTATGATTGATACATTTCTATCATTTCTATCATTTCTATCAAATTCACCTGACGTGAAGGTGTCACGTGACCCCGAATACTGCGCCCTGATTGGTCGAAATACGGATGGAAAAAATAATCTATAGAAAATGCTAATGATTTTTCATCTTTCAGCTAAAAAGCCACGAATCACACCAGAAGTCACTGCAGTGCACAGTCAATCTGAATCGCCATCAGGTATTTCTCCGTGATTTATTTCTCTCTATTGAAAGATTTAGCTTCGTTAGAAAGGCAGAATTTGTCTTTGAGATTTATTTGAATTATATTTGATATTGTTGAAAAATCCCTGGATCTACTTTATATGATAATTCTATGCTAATTTCACTAATATTATGATTGATACATTTCTATCTCTGAAGGCAATCGAAGGAAAAGGGAAGAATCCCCAAATCGTGAAGATATGAATAATAGTTCAGATCCTACAGTCAGACCTCGTGAGTACTAAATTTTCAATTATCTTCATATTTGTATCTCTTATCTAATAATCTTATTTATAAGAAATTATCTACAGAAAATGCTAATGATTTTTCGTCCTTCAGCTAAAAAGCCACGAATCATAACAGAAGTCACTGCGGTGCACAGTCAATCTGAATCGCCATCAGGTATTTCTCCGTGATTTATTTCTCTCTATTGAAAGATTGTGCTCAGTTACAAATTCAGAATTTGTCTTTGCAGATGCATCAAGAATTAGAAGTGTATCTACGGAGAGTATCCCATTGCTAGTGATGCAGATGTTCCGTTCTGTGCAGACATCAGTAAGTCAGTTGCGATCGGAAGTAATGAACCTGAAGGAGGCAATAAATGACATGAAGACAGTCACATCTGAGCAAAATAAATATCAAACTGGTAGATCGAAAACGAAGGTCGTGAGGCTTAAAGAATTCCTCTGCACTACACCAATGAGTTTTGACGACTTTGAGGAACGATTAAAAAATAATGCTGGATTTTCTGAACGCATAGTAAGTAAATAGCCGCAAATCTCATGCGCTGTACTCATAATTGATAGAAATCATTTTGTCACATCATGTGAAGGATTTCTTATATTCTTTACGAGCGGTGATAAGATTAGCAATGAATATTTTCGCTTTTTCGTAAAAAGAGAAAATATAGATTGACGAATAAACACCGAGTCATTTAATTCAAGATCATCTAACCCAACTTCTGCATTAGAGGTTTGGGTCGGACTGATTGTGATAGTATACAATTTTATGAAAAATATTATTTTATTTGTTTTTTATGAAAAATAATTGTTTGCTAATTTTCTCCTTACAGTGCGAAGGGATTTCGCATGTGATTAATGCGAAGGAAATGACACCGACGAAGATGATCACTGGGGTTCTACGACTATTACTGCACAAAGATGTACTGGAGCAGTTTACCGCTCGAAAACAAACTAAGGAGAAGAGAGTTTTCAAAGAAACAAAACTCTGGGCATGCATTTGTGGTATATATATATAACGTTATAACAACGATTTTCTTATCCTCAAACTGATACCTTTGTGCGAAAATAATTAAATAATTCAATATTTTTTATCAACTTCCAGAAGAAATCGCGACGGATTGTAAACTTTATTCAATTCCACTGATCAAACTCAAGGATCTAGAAGCAGCACTGGGCCACGTCATCAACAATTCGAAGGATTGGGACATGAAGAGGAAGAGGAATAAGGAAGATGAAACAAACCCCAAGGAAACCCCTGATCCACAGGAAATCCTCTAATTTACGTTCAATCCACGTACGTAAAAATTCAATAGAAATCCTATAGAATCCTATAGGGATTTCTATTGAATTTCTATTGGAATTCTATTGAAAATTCTATTGGAATTCCGCCGATTTCTATTACAGATTTTTTCCAATAGAAATATTTAATAGATCACATTTTTATAGAAAAAAAAGGAATAGAATTAGATTTTTTATAAAATTTATTCTATTGAGATTTTTCTATAGAAATTTCTTGGCATAAATTTTCTAAGTTTTTTACATTGTATTTTTTTTCATCCTCTATTAAAAAATTCAAGGAAAAAAACTTAGAAAATCCATGCCAAGAAATTGCTATAGAAAAATCTCAATAGAATAAATGTTATAGAAAAATCTAATTCTATTGATTTTTTTCTATAAAAATGTGATCTATTAAATATTTCTATTGGAAAAAATCTGCAATAGAAATCGGCGAAATTTCAATAGAATTTTCAATAGAAATCCAATAGAAATTCAATGGAGATCTCTATAGAATTCTATAGGATTTCTATTGAATTTTTTTGTACGTGTCTCTCAATATAAAATTATTAATTATCATTGTACGTATTTATGAATAAATCAGGAAAAATTTGCTTAACTGAAATATTGCGTTCGTGATTTGATATGGCAATCCACATGCCAGTCATATCAGTATTTCCCTATCCGGCACACATTTCTATTCCCGGACCAGCTCCGGAATCCGAAGCCGGATCTTAGCCTGATCCGTCTGGACGGATGAGACTCTGATCAGGATACCAGTACAGGGCCCTGATCCAGTCCGGACCTATTCGGATCAGGACCGGATGCGTCTGTTATGGCTCTGTCCGGATATGAAATCCCCGACAATGCGTGCCGTATTCATCACGGATCCTGGCCTGACGAGGCTGCCTGATCCGCTCAGGATTTGAAACAGCGTTACACAAAATATCCGAACCGGACGATGGTTTCCGGATCAGGCCCGGACTTGTGCTCAGGCTGTCCTGATCCGGTACGGATCAGAGCACTGCTTGAATTTCCACTCGGGTTCTTAGTCACTTTGGCCATATGCGGTCGAGCGTTGTCATATTGGAGAATCACTTGTTTACTTTCGCTGCCAGTATATGGCCTCTTTTGCTCCAATGCATCATTCAAATGAATCAGCTGTTATTGGTAAACCTTCGCAGTAACAGTTTGGCCAGGTTTAAGTAGCTCGTAATATATCACACCCTTCATATCCCACCAGATATTCAGCATCGCTTTCCTCGCATAGACATTGGGTTTCGCAGTCCACGTCGATGGTTCGCCGAGATTCACCCATGATTTTTTGCGTTTAGGGTTATCGTATAACACCCACTTTTCATCTCCCGTAATGATTTTGTATGAGAAATCTTTTCTTTTAAATCGAGTGAACAGATATAGCGCCGTCTCCAGTCGTCGCTCCTTATTTTCGGGGCTCCGATCATGAGTAGTGTTTCCCGATCCAGTATCGATACTCACTTATATCGATATTTTTTGTTGCGATATTCGATATTTTGTATCCATATTTGCGCGTCGCAATATTGGTTGTATCGATATTTCTGGGTTGGGATCGATATTTTCTCACGGACAAGTAATGAAAAAAAAAATTAATGTAAAAAATATTCATAACGGATTTAAAAACTACGGAGGTCACAAGAATAAGCTGATTCATCGGGGTCAAAATATCAGAAGGGACAAAAGGATCTCAAGGGAATGTTCAAATTTCAAGAGGGTCAAATATCACGAGGGTCAAACGTCACGAGGGTCACAAAGGGATGATCAAATTTTACGAGAGTCAAACGTTACGAGAGTCATAAGGGAATGGCTAAATTTCACGAAAGTGAAAGGTCACGGGTGTCACAAGGGGATGATCAAATTTCACAAGTGTCAAAAGTCACAAGGGTCACTTCAAATTTTACGAGTCATACAGTACGAAAGTCACAGGGGGATCACCAATTTTTAAACTTTCCAGGACCCGAAATGATGACATGAAAAATTCAATAAACTTGAATAATGAACACCATTATCCATCCTACAAAGAGTTTGAGATTTTTCCATGTGATTCTCAAAGATCGTTAAAGCATCGTATTTCCTTGTGACTCTTGTGATCCTTTGCTCCTCGCAAAATTTGACGTTGGACCCTCGTGGAAAATGACCATTGGAACATTCAAACGTCATGACATTTCCTTATTCCCTTGTGACTCTCGTGAGGTTTGATCCTCTTGAACATTTGACGATCCCCTCGTGACCCTTGGGAGGTTTCGTACTCGTGATATCTAATTAACCCCTAGTCAATCTCGTGGCGTTTCACTCCGGTGAAATTTGACACCTTGTGACCCTTGTGACGTTTGATCCTTGTGAAATTTGACCATCCCCTTATGACTCTGGTGTCGGTTGACTCTCGTGAAATATGACCGTCTCCTTGCGACCCTCTTGCTGTTTGACCCTCGTGAAATTCGACCATCTTCTTGTGACCCTTGTGTCGGGTCACTCTCGTGGAATTTGATCATCTCTTTGTGATCCTCGTGTCATTTCGATCCTGTGAAATTTGACCATCCCTGTGAGACCCTCGTGACATTTGACACTTGTGAAATTTGACCATCCCCTTATGACCGTTGTAAAATTTGACTATCCCCATGTGACCCTCGTGTCGGTTGACTCGTGAAATTTAATTGTCTCCCTATGGCCCTCGTGACGTTTCACTACTGTGAAATTTGACCATGTCCTTTTGACCCTCGTGACGTTTCACTTCCGTGAAATTTGATCGTTCCCTTGTGGCTTTCGTAGAGTTTGACCCTCGTGAAATTTGATCATTCCCTAGTGACTCTCGTGACGTTCCACCCTCGAATGAACAAAATAATAATTCTGTGCAAACTGTAATGTGAATGACACTGAATATTCATAACGTATCCCAATTTTTCCTCGCGCAATTTAATTGACAAATTTGATGATTGGAAGTGGTGGAATCTATAGAATGGTTGGTACAAAATTGTAAACAATACTGGGATATCCTCACGTGAATGGTCTTTTAACGCGACATTCTTTAACTTTAATTTTTTTTTTTTGCCATTGTCATCCAGAATTTTTAAAAAGATCGATATTATGAGTATCGATATTTCCCAAGCCGATACTTTGCGGTATCGATACCAAGCAATTTGCTTCGGTACGATACTGTGTATCGATATTTTTTTGGGTATCGGGAAACACTAATCATAAGGAACCCATCTACCCTCCTTTTGAATTTTGCCAAGTTGATGTAGGCGATGAGAAATGCATTGTTGAGTAACTCCGAGTTGTAATGCAAGCTCTGTTTAACTTTGAGCAGAATTTTCAGCCAAGAGTTGTTCGAGTTCTTCATCGCCGAATTTTAGCGGTTGACCCGGCCGCTCTCAATTCAAAAGATCGAAATCTCCGTCTCTAAACCTTTAGTACCACTTTTTACATGTTTTATGTATTACAGCGTTTTTTCCAAGAGCACTACAAATCATTTGAGTAACCTCGGCAACATTTTTCTTCAATTGAAATGCAAAAAGAATGCAGTGCCTCAAATGTTGCTTATCGACAGACATCGTGTTTACTACTATTTTTTAAGGTTATGTAAGAAGTATTTACTGCTTCGGTAACTGAATACTACCAACATACAAAATATTGAAATATTAAGTTTTTGAACGCAATTATAAACCGCGAAATATAGGGGCACCTTATTAATTTGTACGCCTAATATTTCTAGATAATGGTCCCAACTTTTATTTGCACTTCATTTTACGTGGGTTTTTGCACAATTTTATCGAAACTTTTAAGATACGAATGAAGTTCTTGATTTTGAAACATTTCAAAAATGTTGACACAACTAAAATGTCTTCTTTCAAATGAAACTTTCTAGTGTAAAGTAATCAATAATTTGAAAAAATCAATTATCGAAGTTTATCATTTTTTTTCCTAAATGGTTTATAAACAATCAATTTTCCGTTATAAAAATGATATTGTATAAATCATAAAAAATGCATAAAAAATCAAAAATTTTCTTGAATTCGATTTAATGAACAAACTAGAAGTAACTATTTGTTATCAATTTATTCACAATTATTTATTATAACATATAATTCGGATTTCGATTTGAATTGAATGATTATTCGAGTGATTCAATATCCTTGAATTTTTAGATTTTATTTTCACATAATTTGCTTGACAAATTTGATGATTGAAAATCTCAAAATTTAGAGAGCCGTCATACCAATCTCTAAACAACACTCGGGGGCCCTTGAACAATTAATTTATCTATGCAGATTCATATTGAATAATACTAACCATGTAATAATATATTAGGTGCATGACTTAATTCTCGGCCCCTAGATTAAGTTGATTAGAACACCGATTTGAATTGAAAAATTTCCTTGCAATAAAGGGCGTCTTGAAGCGTCATCGGTGAGCTATCAAACCACTCAAGTCTGATTGTGGTCCGATTAACACAACCTCAAAAAACATACTAAATAAAGATGTTGTTCGACAAGCAGCACTCGAGGCACTCCCTTTTTTCACCTTCCAACTAGGAAAAAATGCTGCAAAAGCACAAGGAATAATTTGTTCGGCCTTGGGAGAGAGTGCTGTATCATATAGCACATATAAAAAGTGGATTAACAATTTAGAGATGGAAATTTTGATCTCCAGGTTGAAGAACATGGGCAACCAAAAAAATTTGAGGACGAGGAGTTAGAGAATCTACTTAATGAAAATCCCCGTCAAACATAACAGGTACTTGATGATACTCTCGGAGTGACTTAATCAAATATTTCGAGGCGTTTAAAAAGAATTGGAAGGAGACAAAAGGAAGGTCGTTGGGTACACCATCATCTTACCTCAGAAATCAAAAGTCGACGCTGTGAAATTGCCATGTGCCTACTGACCAGATTCAACAACAAAACAAACAAATACACTTTTTACATGAAATTGTGACTGGGGATGAAGAGGATATTTTACGACAATCCTAAGAGGCGAAAGTCATGGGTTTATCCGGGGGAGCCATTAACAAGTACTGCAAAGCCGAA